GTGACATTATAAAGTGATGTATAGGTAGATATAATACTAATCTATAGATGTGAATCCATTTGATGATACATCTGTGAGGTTTAAGTTGATTTTAACAGCCCGGGCCAGGTCGGACCCAACACAAGCCAAACACTTCTGATAGAGACTATGTTGAGAATGTAGAGGGGAAAAGGGCTTCACTTTAAGCCCCATGTCTTCTATAAATACTGCGATCTGTGACATTATAAATTGGTGTATAGGTAGATATAACACTAATCTATAGATTTAGTCACATTTGAAGATACATCTGTGTGTTTAAAGTTGATTTTGACCGCCCGGGCCAAGTCGGACCCAACACAAGCCAAACACTTCTGATAGAGACTATGTTGAGAATGTAGAGGGAAAAGGGCTTCACTTTCGAGCCCCTTGTTGTCTATAAATACTGCAATCTGTGACATTATAAAGTGGTGTATAAGTAGATATAATACTAATCTATAGATTTAATCACATTTGAAGATATATCTGTGAGGTTTAAGTTGATTTTAACAGCCCGGGCCAGGTCGGACCGAACATTTCTGACTTGTTTTTTTTTAAAGAAAATACAGTAAAAATGCTTCACTTTAAGGGCGCAGATTTCTTTAAATGCGATACACCTGGACATTATAAATTGGTGTATAGGTAGATATAACACTAATCTATAGATTTAATCACATTTGAAGTTACATCTGTGTGTTTAGAGTTGATTTTGACCGCCCGGGCCAAGTCGGACCCAACACAAGCCAAACACTTCTGATAGAGACTATGTTGAGAATGTAGAGGGAAAAGGGCTTCACTTTCGAGCCCCTTGTTGTCTATAAATACTGCAATCTGTGACATTATAAAGTGGTGTATAGGTAGATATAATACTAATCTATAGATGTGAATCCATTTGATGATACATCTGTGAGGTTTAAGTTGATTTTAACAGCCCGGGCCAAGTCGGACCGAACATTTCTGACTTGGATTTTTTAAAGAAAATAAAGTAAAAATGCTTCACTTTAAGGGCGCAGATTTCTTTAAATGCGACACACCTGGACATTATAAATTGGTGTATAGGTAGATATAACACTAATCTATAGATTTAGTCACATTTGAAGATACATCTGTGTGTTTAAAGTTGATTTTGACCGCCCGGGCCAAGTCGGACCCAACACAAGCCAAACACTTCTGATAGAGACTATGTTGAGAATGTAGAGGGAAAAGGGCTTCACTTTCGAGCCCCTTGTTGTCTATAAATACTGCAATCTGTGACATTATAAAGTAGTGTATAGGTAGATATAATACTAATCTATAGATGTGAATCCATTTGATGATACATCTGTGAGGTTTAAGTTGATTTTAACAGCCCGGGCCAGGTCGGACCGAACATTTCTGACTTGGATTTTTTAAAGAAAATACAGTAAAAATGCTTCACTTTAAGGGCGCAGATTTCTTTAAATGCGACACACCTGGACATTATAAATTGGTGTATAGGTAGATATAACACTAATCTATAGATTTAATCACATTTGAAGTTACATCTGTGTGTTTAAAGTTGATTTTGACCGCCCGGGCCAAGTCGGACCCAACACAAGCCAAACACTTCTGATAGAGACTATGTTGAGAATGTAGAGGGAAAAGGGCTTCACTTTCGAGCCCCTTGTTGTCTATAAATACTGCAATCTGTGACATTATAAAGTGATGTATAGGTAGATATAATACTAATCTATAGATGTGAATCCATTTGATGATACATCTGTGAGGTTTAAGTTGATTTTAACAGCCCGGGCCAGGTCGGACCCAACACAAGCCAAACACTTCTGATAGAGACTATGTTGAGAATGTAGAGGGGAAAAGGGCTTCACTTTAAGCCCCATGTCTTCTATAAATACTGCGATCTGTGACATTATAAATTGGTGTATAGGTAGATATAACACTAATCTATAGATTTAGTCACATTTGAAGATACATCTGTGTGTTTAAAGTTGATTTTGACCGCCCGGGCCAAGTCGGACCCAACACAAGCCAAACACTTCTGATAGAGACTATGTTGAGAATGTAGAGGGAAAAGGGCTTCACTTTCGAGCCCCTTGTTGTCTATAAATACTGCAATCTGTGACATTATAAAGTGGTGTATAAGTAGATATAATACTAATCTATAGATTTAATCACATTTGAAGATACATCTGTGAGGTTTAAGTTGATTTTAACAGCCCGGGCCAGGTCGGACCGAACATTTCTGACTTGTTTTTTTTAAAAGAAAATACAGTAAAAATGCTTCACTTTAAGGGCGCAGATTTCTTTAAATGCGATACACCTGGACATTATAAATTGGTGTATAGGTAGATATAACACTAATCTATAGATTTAATCACATTTGAAGTTACATCTGTGTGTTTAGAGTTGATTTTGACCGCCCGGGCCAAGTCGGACCCAACACAAGCCAAACACTTCTGATAGAGACTATGTTGAGAATGTAGAGGGAAAAGGGCTTCACTTTCGAGCCCCTTGTTGTCTATAAATACTGCAATCTGTGACATTATAAAGTGGTGTATAGGTAGATATAATACTAATCTATAGATGTGAATCCATTTGATGATACATCTGTGAGGTTTAAGTTGATTTTAACAGCCCGGGCCAGGTCGGACCGAACATTTCTGACTTGGATTTTTTAAAGAAAATACAGTAAAAACTTCACTTTAAGGGCGCAGATTTCTTTAAATGCGATACACCTGGACATTATAAATTGGTGTATAGGTAGATATAATACTAATCTATAGATTTAATCACATTTGTAGATACATCTGTGTGTTTAAAGTTGATTTTGACCGCCCGGGCCAAGTCGGACCCAACACAAGCCAAACACTTCTGATAGAGACTATGTTGAGAATGTAGAGGGAAAAGGGCTTCACTTTGAGCCCCTTGTTGTCTATAAATACTGCGATCTGTAACATTATAAAGTGGTGTATATGTAGATATAACACTAATCTATAGAGGTAATCACATTTGAAGATAAATCTGTCTGTTTAAAGTTGATTTTGACAGCCCGGGCCAAGTCGGAGCGAACTGTGTGACTGTCGAGAGTAGAGGGAGAAGAGGTCTACTTTAACCAACGTGTCTGCTTTAAATACGATGAACAGTGACGTTATAAAGTGGTATTTACTTAGATATAGTACGTTCCTATAATATAAACGCTATGCCGACAGATGGAAATTCGTATGACGATAGCTAGAAGTATTTGATACGTGTCAAATCCTATTTCGTTTAACGATTGCTCTTTTACATGTTACCTAGATCAGCGACGCTAACACACAGCTCCACTTTCTAGTTTTTAAGTGATTTACTCCGAATTACTTAATTATGCTGCACGTTTTGGATTGGTGATTGTTCAGTAGTGTCATGTGTGTATGTTGCATCAATAATATGTAGATATGATCGCCGATAATTAAGTAATTAGCCAATAACACTTTGGCCCGTCTTGGCCCGGCCCGGCCCGACTTTTAGGCAATCCCAACCTTCTAGAAATATTTGCTGAATATTTTAACAGGAATTCCGATTCGTAGCTGTACATACAGTGCGAAAACCCGGGCTTCCCACGAGGCGCAAATTACACAAAAAAACGGAATTACGGAGCATTAGGAATACCTTTCAAACATTTTGGCGTAAAAAAAGCTGGCTCGCTCTAGGACCACAACGGACTGAGCTCGAGTGAGTGAGTCCCCTTGGTGTCACTGCATGATTTATCTTTCAGATTTATATACAATTAATTACGGGCCAGTGTAAATTATATAGAGGATAATCTCAGGGATATCGACTAACTTTGTTACCAATCTCATTAAAATCAGATCTTATATAGTTATTGCTGCCGCTAAACAAAGATCTGATTTTAATGAGATTGACTTTGTTACCAAATACAATGTTTCTCGGTCATTGAGACAGCTAGAGGCCATTTGGCCGCTATATTATGGTCTCTGATTGAGAGAATATTATTAAACTCTTCACTATTATGAGGTGAGATCTATTTGACAAGGCGGTGTGAAAGTTAATTATCAGGTAATTCATTTCACTAATGTTCAACCTGGAAAATACATTCATGAAAACTTCATCGGCACCTCAGCAAAATCGTCACAGATTTCCTCTGGCGAAAACGGTGTCATTTTCGCGAGAATGGGTAGTGAAGGTCAAGCGAAAAGGCAACCTCACATTTATAATAAATATAAAAAACGATTTCCGTGGTAGTATTTATGCTTGCAGATGTTGTCTTCGAAGCCTAAAGCTGATTCCGAAACGCTTTATACAGAAACTCCAGTGCACCACAAACACGACGTGTCCATTGGTCGGATTTATCACATGATATGGCATATTGACGTTTCCTCACTATCGGTAAGGTGATTGTCTGGTCCAGACTCCATTTTACACTATGCCTGACAAAACGTCACAATGAATTTTTTCCTCACAAACATTATCCACATATTCTAAAAATGACTTATCATATATACTTCCATTTATTTGTTTACATTGTGTGCACTAATTGATTTAAAACAGACTAGGTCTACTGCCATCACACACTAAGTGCGCCATAGTTTAACACGAAACATCGCAGTTAGTTTTAGGCGCACATAAAATCCTTTAACTTGACTAGACATTCCAGGTAAAAAGTAAGTATCCGTGAGTCTGAAACCTTTTAACATGTTTAACCTGTATTCAAAAAGTGTTTTGAAATTTAAAACATATTGATACTGATATATTCTATTGGATAGACACTATTCACAGTAAGAAAATACTAATCTAAACGTCTCCTTTTCTTCAGAATTCGTTGTTTAGGTTTCACCCATATGTTTCATCTTATATTTGTTGATAATGTTAGACATAAGTATAATTGTCATGGTACGCGGTTTCACTACATTGAACATGTTTAAAGAGAATTGTTTGGGCCTGCGAAAGTTGCAGGTGCCCGAAAACACCAAAGGGAAAGAACTCCGTTTAGCTTTGTTTTTTGCACCGGAAGTTCTCAATTTGTAATGGCGACTCAGTTGTAATTCCAACACGGTAGCTCATTGTAAAATGGCATCAAGACGACTTAAGAGACCCTCCTCAGCCAGGCGACATATAAAATATGAGTCATTCTCACAATATGTCAGGTACAGTTTAGATTTGGGTTGAAATGCAATAACGGTTGTGAAGAAATACCATTGACAGATCGCGTTGCTAATAACGCTATTCCCGAAGTCCATGATCCAAATACGAAAGCTGAACTAAAGACACACCATAATAAAGACAAAATGTGTCATTTTAGAGGCTGTTTTATTAAATAAAGAAATGAATTCCTTAACAAATCGTATGAATTGTTTCATGAAGTGTTAGAAAGAATATTTAAAAATAAATACGTTCTATAAACGAAATCCATGTAAACAAATTGCTTTCCAGTTGATATCTGTTGTCATTTCAATATCTCCAAATTTATATTGTATTCTATTTGTCATTTGTTTGTGAACAAATGTAAAACATTTGAAATGTTGTCAGGAAAGACATAATACTATTACTATTGTTTCAGGTAAACCATTGCTTCATTTGTGGCCCATATGTTTTTATCCTGAAATCCATGTTAAACATTTGGGAAAAATTAATAAGATCTTTCTGCATATTATTGTTGCTGTGGCTATATTGACATACAAATTTGAGAAACATTGCAACTAACATCAGTCCTAAACAAGTCATCTGAGTTAAGCAGGGTAGATGAATATTAAATGAGAAAACACCTACCTACCGACACAAACCGCACCACCTCCATGATCTAGTGCTAGAGCATCCGCCCGGAGAGCGGAAGGTTAAGGGTTTGATCCCTGGCCACGTCATACCAAAAGATGTTATAAGATGGAACTTGTTGTTACCCTGCCTGGTGCTCATCATTAAGGGGCTAAAACTGGTCAGCTCTGAGTCAGTATACTGTGTCTGAGTGAGATTTTCATGTTAAACAGTGGTATGGTATCTCAGTGGGCTGGTGTGTTGCCACATTTCGGTTTTATGGGTACCTTCAACACCCAACAGTTCATGTCCCACATTAACAGAGTGCATGTTGTTCTCAGCATCTGCTCAGGAAGACACGTTCTGGCTAGTCTGTCTCAGGGATAGGAAGAGTCTATAGGCTCTGTGGTCACTGTTTGAATTCAAAAACGACCAGTGGAACGTTTCTGGACATATTATTCTATCAATGTGTGTCTTTTGTTGTGCAAATAAATAACTGTAAGTGGATATTATTATTGAGATCGGAAGTTGCAACATGAGATTTGTGTTTCTTAAGGCACTTACTATATATCACACAACCCAATTCTCCCACAACATATAAGCTATCTCTGAGTAAAGTCTTTTAGTTGTGCTCACAAGCTGTGGCCTTCATTAGGTCTTGAGAGATCATACTCTAAGCCTGAGATAGGGGACACATATCACAGTATAAGTTGTAGCAGCAGGCTCGTGGTGTTAAACATAACGAGGGACACATGTACCCCTTGTGATCCTGCAACAACAAAATTATCTTACAGCCATGTTTTTGTATGACATTGTAAAAGAACAAAAACAAATTCAATATTGATAGAAAACAGCTGTTCGATTGACCTGAAGTTATTGTAATGTAATTTTCAATGACTTTGAAAAAGTCACCAGTGTGCAGCTTTTTTCTTCGAACAGGGTTATAAAGGATTTATTCTGTCTCAGAAATCCACTTGCAGCCTGTCTTGTTCGTGGTGGGTATAATGGATTTATTCAACCGCAGGGAAATTTATTTCCCTCTAAAGCAGGATACATTATAAGTTGTAGCAGGATCACGAGGGGTACATGGAGGTTCTCACATTAGGTTTTATACCACGAGCGGGAGGCAAGTGGTATAAAACCTAATGAGGGATGCATAAAACCCCATGTACCCAGGGTGATCCTGCTACAACAAATTTATCTCACCGAAGTGTTTTAATATCATTGTAAAAGAATTTGAACAAATTCAAAATTTAATAGAAAACAGCTATTTCATTGAGCTGAGATGAGCTTATTGCATTGAAGCAGGGTATAAGGGAAATATTGTGCCTCTGAGAAATCCACATGCAGTCTGACTTGCTCGTGGTGGGGTATAAGAGATTTATTCCCCTGCTGAGAAATTTATTCCCCTCCAAGGCAGTATTTTATCAAGATCACATGGACCAATCAGATCTCATCATTCTCACATGGAGGTATGATAATACCATAAGCGTACATATTGGCCATGCCTCTTGTCACATGATGAACTTTATATTTATATTTTCAGTGCAAGCCGATTGAGGCAAGTTCAGAGCTTATTAAAAGGACCTACTGACTCATCAACAGCTCCTGATGCTATATTGTGTATAGCAGGTACTGTACAGTGATGTGATGTGTGATGTGAAAAGTTAGCATCTATACAATGTTGTCTTTGTCTTCAGCAACTTTTGTGAGGTCACACAATCTAACCATAAGGTACATGAATTCTGTACCTGAAAATCAGGGCCCCGTTCCCCAAAACGATTGTAGCGCAAAGGTGATCGTAACTCCCATACATTGACATTAACTTACGACAGTTGTAGCGCTACGTTCGCTTTGTGGAACGGGGCCCTGATTATGATACAGCCATAGAGATATTTTGTTGTCTTTAGTATAAGAAATCATTCTGGACATCATGGGTGAGCATGGGATGGTATGTGGTTTTGGGCACCACAAGTTGCTGTGTGAATATCTGTTCCATGGTGGTTTGTAGCAAAGTGGTTTCTGTGGAAAATCCATTCAAGAGGATCATATGGTCAGACTGTGGACTTTCATGATCGTTTATTATCATTATGACTGAAGGGGTAGAACGGTATACTGCAATACACTTTTCAAACGATACATGCTGCAAGATTTTTTTCTGTTCCTGTATATTAGGTAAATAAAATATAAAATGTTTTGTTATTATTTGTATCGTTTAACCTAAAATCTGTGCAGAATTCATTCACAAATGATGCTTCCCTTTTAAATTGATTGACAAAATGGATGAGGAGAGGAAGTGATTTTTCTCTCACATATGCATGACTATAAAAAGGTAGCAACTGACCATGCTGAGTAATATATACTTTAGCAAATGTTTAGTTTGTAGAAAATAGGATCTGCATGTACAATCAGTGTCAAACAATTGAGCTACCAGTGCAGGCCTTTGTATAGAGAACATAACTAAGTACGTCATTAAACAACATGTTTAACAACATTATTTGCAGGAGAGTCACAGCTCAGTCACAGGGATGTTACACAACATATTGAATGTTTGCTCATGCTTTCAATCACTGGCTGTCCACAACAGATGCTATTAGCTGGAATAGAGCTGACTGGCATTGAACAACATTCATTTAATCCAACTGACAACCATGAGAATCCCAATTGCTTGGATCGATGCTCGTGATGTGAATCAATGAATTGTCTGGTCCAGACTTGATTATTTACAGACTGCCGCCATATAGCTGGAATATTGCTGAGTGCGGTGTAAAATAACAAACAAACAAACAAACAAACAAACAAACAAACAGACAAACCTCACTGAATTACTCTCCATTATTCAGGGATTGACAGTCGCTACAATGATGGAACAAGAGAGTTGATAAACTACTTGCTCTTTGGATTTTTTGAAGTAAGAAAAGAAGAACTTGAAAGGTAAGTCTTATCTTCTAAGCATTCCTCCAAGTGCTTCCAAACCCAGCTGATACTAAAACAGCACATACCTTCAGGGAAAGGTTTCAACTCCAAGAATGACATACTCGATTATCCAGTTATGTATATCTCAATTCTAGACACCGGGACCCATTTGCCACCCAGCCTCGTGCTAGAAGTGACGACACAAGCTCCCTCTCTTTTATCATTAGCTTAGCACTGAATTTCTCTTGCTGATGCGCTTCAAATGGACAACCCATCAAAATGTTTCTTTTCAACACAAGTTTGGCATAGATCTACATTCAAATTCACAGCCTCATCCAAGAAAATCAAAACTGTTATAGTATGACTTGCGGGCTCTATATTATTGTGGTATTGGTAAATCTTGTAATCTACATCCCCTTTCGACTGTTTTCTTACGCAAAACTAAGCACAATATTTCATCACTTGATGGAATCAGGAGTTGTGGTATGTCATGGCTACTCATAAGTATACACGTTAATGTTTTTATGATAGTTTATAAAATTGGTTAGAAAAGAACCCGATTGTTTAGACGAAGTCTCTTGACCCAACCTACGTAGTATGCATACTGATTACGCACAATCAAAAAGAGGAAGTGATGTCAACCACATAATACACACGTATCACATCACAAAATAGTGATACCGCGAGTATGTAGAGATGCCCGCCCTTGAGTCGCTAATGACAGGTAATTTGTTTACCAAACTGGGTAAAGAAAATCACCATCGATCAATCGTAACTGATGTCATAATACCGGCAGTTGAACCAAGGAGAAACATTTTGCGTGTAACATATTTAATAGCTTAGTAAGTATTCACCATTACGATCCATTTTAAACTAAATTACCCCGATAATATAACGTACCATGCTATAATTTAGGGCTGGGACGAGTCCAAATTTACGGCCCAGGTACCCACCCCCCTATTACCCGGCCCTACCAGGGTACCCGCTGTAGGTCTCAAGAGGTAGGTACAAACTGTCCGATTGGGAAAAGTTTGACTGTAGCTCTGGTAAAATGTGTTTAGATACATGTATGAAACGATCTGGTGTATACACTGAAGTTGACTGAAGTTTTATTTTTATTCAAACATATAAAAGTCAGAAGGAATGGGTGTAGCAGTCAGGAAGAACTGCGAACATTAGTGACTTGTAGTTAAAACATAGAGTTTTAGATACTTTTTGTCATTAATCAATATATCACGTGACTAACCACAGGTCCGGGTAGTCCTGTGGGTACCCGGGTCCTACTCAGTACCCACCCGACCCAAGCACCTGAGTTACCCGTCCCAGCCTGTAATTGATATTTTGGCTGGAAAAGATGTTTCCTGAGTGTGTGTACTAAGACAGGGGAGGGAAGGCCCAATGCAACAAGATGTTCCCTTGTATTTACGATGGCATGCAAACATTGAGATGATACTGGTGATATTTCTGCATGTTTTAATCAGGAAAGAAATTTGTAAATTGATCTATTTTTTAAACATGCCTTAAAACGAAGCTAAGGTAATGAATGGGTCCAGGGTATATCTCATAATCGAATGGAGATATGATACACTGGGTAATCAAGGATGCAACATTGGCAACACAGCTATGTATTGTCTTATGCTGTTAACATAGTCAAATTAGGCTCAGTGATTGGTTTATTTCCGTTTCCAACCTCGGTGTTGATTTTGAAATTAATGGCTAATTATTTTAAAATTATTTTTGTTCATTTCCAGATTTAGATTGATATTGTGAGGTATTATGAAAGATGAATATAGAACTTCTCCTGACTGATATACAAGGTTTCAAGGCATGATATTTATATATTTCCCTGTTCATGTATAGTTTAGTAAATGTCATATAAAACAGTCCGACTTTAGCCACTAGTCCGAAGCCTGAGTCTGTTAATGTTATTTAGGTCTAGTTGGCTTTGCTATTAAAAGTCCATAAGATCTACTGAAAATAATGTCAAGTGATATGTTGAGGCTATTGAGCTCACAAGTCTATGGCACTAACTGTATTTATGAGTTTTGCTGTTTCAATTACTTGTGACTTTAATTACGTAACAAATACTGAGAAAGATTACTCTAAATGTGCGACTGTTTTATTTCCCTCATAATAAATTAATAAGGGATAATCAATTGCCTTTTTATCTCCCCAGTGTGTTATCAGCGTGTCTGTCCGTCTCTCTGTCCGTAATCATTTTTTGTCCGCATCATATCTCTGAAACTAATAGGTATTAATTTATGAAACTTTGCATGCACAATGACCAGGTTGTCAACTGGTGCCTTTTTCTATTTCGTGATTTTAACCATATTTTTTCCTGTTTCCATGCAAACAAGTTTGACTTAACCCTGTTCATAGTTGCATGTTTGTCCAAAACAACCTTAGCGCTACGACTGTCGTAAGTCTATGTTTTGGTATGGGAGTTATGGTCACCTTAGCGCTAAGATTGCTTTGTACAACTGCACCCATATCTCTAAAACTAATAGGTATTCTTTCATGAAACTTTGCACACACAAAGCCCAGGTTGCCAACTGGTGCCTTTTGCTATTAAGGGATTTTTGGAATTTTTATTCTTTCTGATTCCATGTCAACAAGTTTGACTTTGAGTCTGGTCAGACCACAAGAGTGTCTGGATAGTTATTCACCAGTGAAACCCGGGTTCGATTCACGACATGGGTACAATGTGTGAAGCCCATTTCTGGTGTCCCCGCCGTGATATTGCTGGAATATTGCTAAAAGCGGCGTAAAACCATACTCACTCACTCACTCACTCACTCACTTATTCACCAGTGAAGGTAAACAAAGAAGGAAAATGTTCACTGTAAACATTTATATCTATATATCTATTAAGCTGCAATATAGGAGATATCATAAGTATAATGTGAAAGGTGAGCTTCAGTAACCTTTGATAACTACAGTTGGTAATACAACAGATTACAGCATAAGCCATGTACTAATTGTGTTACATCCACTAACTCATATGTTTGCAGAAAAAAGAACCTGACATACAAATACAAATTTCCTGATCTCATGGTATTGTTTTGATAGCTCAATAACTACTTGTATGTACGGACAGACAGATTAGCTAGAATACTCTCATCAAGTTGGCCAGATCATTCTTGTTGGACTTGCTGTAACAGTCAGATGATTTGTTCTTTCGAATTTGTGGGGTCGGGGGGATTTGTCATGTTCTGATGACTCTTGCTAAACCAGTGACAAACTTTCATCAGAATGAATTCCAAAAAAACACTAGTAATAGAATTAAATGTCACATACATTTTGATATAAAAGTAACTTCTGTCTTATATTCAGCTCTGGCTTTGAAGAGGAGGTTATTGATGGTAAGTATGTCATGCTGCTATAGGTGTTATCTACACGAACAATATGTTGGTCATTTTTGGAATATATACACTGATGGCAAACCAGTAATGGCTGGATTATAGAAAAAAAATATTAGCGCATCAATGTACTTGTATTGACTGTGTAAGCTGGCTGATTGTGTAGCAATGTACCATGATAATATGGATAGTTGTTCATGCTGTCACCCACTGGTTTGCTGCTCCAGACTTGATTATTTACACGCCATCTTTATTTTGCTAAGTACAGTAAACTAAGGCTATAACAAACTCAAAGAGACCACTAATTTTAGTTCATTATAACCGTAGTCCTTTAAAAACATATATACAGTGTATCAAACCAAATGGACGGGACCCCTCAAAACAGTTCGCTATATCCGTTAGTTCGTTATAAACATAGTTTACTGTATTGCTGACCGTGGTGTACAACAACATTCACTCAACGAGTCAAATATCCCTGAATGGGGGCGGTCAGGTAGCCTTGTGATAAAAACGAAGACCCAGATTTGATTCCTGACATTGGTACTATGTGTGAAGCCCATTTCTGGTGTCACCCGCCGTGATATTGTTGGAATAGTTGCTAAAAAATCAAACTCACTCATTAAATCCCGGAATGGCAAACATCATATTACCTCCAATTTTTCGAACACTCTGAAAACAACTCAATAATTTTCAGCACTCACCTGAGAGAGTAATGATGTCATATCATAGAACTGTTAAATTGTCTTCTGACCCAAACGATATCCTGAAGTCGTCCCTCATGTCATACAGTGTTGTGGAGAGGTTTTTTTCTAACAAAATGTTTCAACCTAGAGCCCTTTCAGCTTCCTGTGCTTCTAATGTTCCATGTTGTGTATCCAGATATTGTGTTCCTGGTGAGGAAGACTAGTGTGGATGTTTACTGTAATCCCATCAACTACCACTACTTGCTGCCGTACATCAGCCACTGGTACAACGTCCGCTTCCATTGCATGACTGACACTGAGGTAAGTTGGAGATCTAAAGCTTCTGGTATCATATCTATAATGTCGAAAACATTGTGTCTGTCATCAGTAGGGGAGTCTCTAAATGGCTGGATGAAAGTCACAATCCATCAAGCTTGTTGCTATTTTCAATATTTTTATGGTTATTGGCATTATCAGGCTGTCATTGTTTATTGTATTTTCTAGTATGAAGATGAAGAAGAAGCAGAGGAGTTCAAAATCCATTCCTTCATAAACATTGTCCGAGACTCTACCAGAGTGGGGATTCCCTACAGCAGCTCAGGTAGGTCACCAGCATTGTCCGAGACTCATCTAGAGTGGGGATTCCCTACAGCAGCTCAGGTAGGTCACCAGCATTGTCCGAGACTCATCTAGAGTGGGGATTCCCTACAGCAGCTCAGGTAGGTCACCAGCATTGTCCGAGACTCATCTAGAGTGGGGATTCCCTACAGCAGCTCAGGTAGGTCACCAGCATTGTCCGAGACTCTACCAGAGTGGGGATTCCCTACAGCAGCTCAGGTAGGTCACCAGCATTGTCCGAGACTCATCTAGAGTGGGGATTCCCTACAGCAGCTCAGGTAGGTCACCAGCATTGTCCGAGACTCTACCAGAGTGGGGATTCCCTACAGCAGCTCAGGTAGGTCACCAGCATTGTCCAAGACTTTCCTAGATATGGGGATTCCCTACAGCAGCTCAGGTAGGTCACCAGCATTGTCCGAGACTCTACCAGAGTGGGGATTCCCTACAGCAGCTCAGGTAGGTCACCAGCATTGTCCAAGACTTTCCTAGATATGGGGATTCCCTACAGCAGCTCAGGTAGGTCACCAGCATTGTCCGAGACTCTACTAGAGAAGGGATTCCCTACAGCAGCTCAGGTAGGTCACCAGCATTGTTCAAGACTCTACCAGAGTGGGGATTCCCTACAGCAGCTCAGGTAGGTCACCAGCATTGTCCGAGACTCTACTAGAGAAGGGATTCCCTACAGCAGCTCAGGTAGGTCACCAGCATTGTCCGAGACTCTACCAGAGTGGGGATTCCCTACAGCAGCTCAGGTAGGTCACCAGCATTGTCCGAGACTCTACCAGAGTGGGGATTCCCTACAGCAGCTCAGGTAGGTCACCAGCATTGTCCGAGACTCTACTAGACATGGGGATTCCCTGCAGCAGCTCAGGTAGGTCACCAGCATTGTCCGAGACTCTACCAGAGTGGGGATTCCCTACAGCAGCTCAGGTAGGTCACCAGCATTGTCCGAGACTCATCTAGAGTGGGGATTCCCTACAGCAGCTCAGGTAGGTCACCAGCATTGTCCGAGACTCTACCAGAGTGGGGATTCCCTACAGCAGCTCAGGCAGGTCACCAGCATTGTCCGAGACTTTCCTAGATATGGGGATTCCCTACAGCAGCTCAGGTAGGTCACCAGCATTGTCCAAGACATGCCTAGATATGGGGATTCCCTACAGCAGCTCAGGTAGGTCACCAGCATTGTCCAAGACTTTCCTAGATATGGGGATTCCCTACAGCAGCTCAGGTAGGTCACCAGCATTGTCCAAGACATGCCTAGATATGGGGATTCCCTACAGCAGCTCAGGTAGGTCACCAGCATTGTCAAAGACTTTCCTAGATATGGGGATTCCTTACAGCAGCTCAGGTAGGTCACCAGCATTGTCCAAGACATGCCTAGATATGGGGATTCCCTACAGCAGCTCAGGTAGGTCACCAGCATTGTCCAAGACATTCCTAGATATGGGGATTCCTTACAACAGCTCAGGTAGGTCACCAGTATTGTCCAAGACTTTCCTAGACATGGGGATTCCTTACAGCAGCTCAGGTAGGTCACCAGCATTGTCCAAGACATTCTTAGACATGGGGACTCCTTACAGCAGCTCAGGTAGGTCACCAGCATTGTCCAAGACTTTCCTAGATATGGGGATTCCTTACAGCAGCTCAGGTAGGTCACCAGCATTGTCCAAGACATTCCTAGACATGGGGATTCCTTACAGCAGCTCAGGTAGGTCACCAGCATTATCCAAGACTTTCCTAGATATGGGGATTCCTCACAGCAGCTCAGGTAGGTCACCAGTATTGTCCAAGACTTTCCTAGATATTGGGATTCCTCACAGCAGCTCAGGTAGGGTGCCAGCATTGGCCAAGACTTTCCTAGATCTCGGGATTCCCTGCAGCAGCTCATGTAGGTCATCAGCATTGTCCAAGACTTTCCTAGATATGGGGATTCCTTACAGCAGCTCAGGTAGGTAGCTCACCAGCATTGTCCGAGACTTTGCTAGATATGGGGATTCCTTACAGCAGCTCAGGTAGGTCACCAGCATTGTCCGAGACTCCTATGATGCTATGCCAGGTAGATTAAAGACTTCCATTTACCCATACCCAGTTAGTCAATACATCTGTATATAATGTTAATGTCATTATAATAGCTCTTTTGAGGATTACCATTTCTTTGATATTTTCAAAAGAATTGAAGTGTCTCCAGCTGTTTTCTCGTCTTCTTTTGTTATTATTTCTGGGTGAGTGTATCTAGTAAAGAAAGTATCTGACACGATTTTCTCATGTTGCAGGGCATGTTCACCAGTTTGACAAGTTTGCTGTAGAGAAATGGCCCATTGTTCAGGCATATGCCTTGGAAGGACTTGGAGGGTAAATACACCACATCTGACTTACACAAGAAAGCAAGCCTAACTTATGACAGCAAAATACATATAGTTAGAGATCAAGCGCAAGGTTCATGCGATAGCATTATTACTTACCTCTGTTCCTTTGTCTCATTTGAATTAGAAATGACTTGTCTATCTCAGTACTTCTACACGAAATAGACAGAAAATGCTTTTTTAGTGGCCATGGCAGCAATTTTGAAGAAAAAAACCCATAGATGGTCACACTCAGACATTGTTCTTTCCAAATGTAAGGAAAATTTGTTCATGTACAGTTTGTATGTTCAAATTTTGCTGTAATTTGATTTGTAATGACCCTGATTTGACCTTAAAGATAATCTTTGGGTCAAGGTATGTCAAAGGAAAGACATGGGATTGATTTAATCACCGTAAGATCTGACTGAAATGTTCTTATTTGTTGTGTGAGCATGGTGAGTGTTTCTCTCTTTTATTAGGTTTAGTTTTTTGAAGGCACCATATTGAAAGTTTATCTTTTGTGAAACAATATTGGGAAAAAAACATGTAGGGCATAAAAAGAATTAATCTCCTCAGAAGGCATATGTGCGACTCTGAGTTTATTACATTCATTGTTGCAGATTATGAAATATTAGTATTACGAATATTTCATAATAGGCTCTGCATTGATAATGAGCACTATGTGAATATTATTGTAGTTAGCAACAAGTGTCTATCTTTGTTGTTATTTAAAACTGATGACTACATGTTCAAGTGAGCTAATAACCGACCAAGACTTGCAAGAATGTGGTCGTTGATTCTCAAGCAGACTTAGTAAGGGAGACAACTCTTCTGGATCTGACGTCAATGGGGAATTCAGTTTGCCAGAACATGCTGTATAATCTCAGGAATATGATCAATGGATGTTTTGAAATAGTTTATCTAACCTATTTATTTTTCCTGTTACAGGGGAGGATTCTTCACCATGATACATGAGGTAATGAACAGAATACGTGACTTTACCATGTTTACACTCTTGTTCTCAGGACAGTAATATGGTTAGTTTTGTCTTCAAATATGGTTATGTAAAAACATATTTTGCTCATCAATCTAAGGTGCCAACTGCCTCTTGCAATTTCTGTTTAACCTTGCCATCTTTTTTTTTTAATGGCCCTTTTGACTTTGAAATCGAGAAACCCACTAACCAGGAGTGCAGCTTGTCACGGTTCATATCCATAGAATTTCATGTTGAAACTGATGTAATATCACATTTATTTTGTTGACATGATCATAATAATATGGGTAATTAAGAGACTGGTAATTTATTATTATGGGTGTGTGTGGTGAGATTGGTTTGCTCATACACACATCCCTTCTCTTCCCCCTCTTCTTCAAAAGGAAATCATCGAGATTAACAGATTTCAGGTTTAACAGATCAAGTTATGAAGCTATGACCTATTTGTGGGTATATTGTTTAGCTTCCCATACAGTTATCATCCGGAACAACAAGGCCCAGAATAACGGGCCTTTTCTGTATCTGTTAAATAGCTGACTATTACTTGGAATGGAAGAATTCTTTTCAAAATGTTCCTGAATGAGCAAGTAGATTGTGCATTTCCTCTTCCTTCTAATGATGTTTTCCTGGGGTAGCTTCAGTCTGTGACAACTGTGACGACTTACTGGTCTTTAGAACTACTCTCTGTCTACTGGCCCTAGAATACACCTACTGCTAATACTGGTGTCTGATGGCCCTAGAATACACCTACTGCTAATACTGGTGTCTGATGGCCCCAGAATACACCTACTGATAATACTGCTATCTGATGGCCCTAGAATACACCTACTGCTAATACTGCTGTCTGATGGCCCTAGAATACACCTACTGCTAATACTGGTGTCTGATGGCCCCAGAATACACCTACTGATAATACTGCTATCTGATGGCCCTAGAATACACCTACTGCTAATACTGCTGTCTGATGGCCCTAGAATACACCTACTGCTAATACTGCTGTCTAATGGCCCTAGAATACACCTACTGCTAATACTGCTGTCTGATGGCCCTAGAATACACCTACTGCTAATACTGCTGTCTGATGGCCCTAGAATACACCTACTGCTAATACCGCTGTCTGGTGACCCTAGAATACACCTACTGCTAATACTGCTGTCTGATGGCCCTACAATACACCTACTGCTAATAATGCTGCCTGATGGCCCTAGAATACACCTACTACTAATACTGCTGTCTGTTGCCCTAGAATACACCTACTGCTAATACTGGTGTCTGATGGCCTTTGAATACACCTACTGATGATACTGCTGTCTGATGGCCCTAGAATACACCTACTGCTAATACTGCAGTCTGATGGCTCTAGAATACACCTACAGCTAATACTGCTGTCTGATGGCCCTGTAATACACCTACTGCTAATACTGCTGTCTGATGGCCCTAGAATACACCTACTGCTAATAATGCTGCCTGATGGCCCTAGAATACACCTACTACTAATACTGGTGTCTGATGGCCCTACAATACACCTACTACTAATAATACTGTCTGATGGCTCCAGGATACACCTACTGCTAATACTGCTGTCTGATGGCCCTAGAATACACCTACTGCTAATACTGCTGTCTGATGGCCCTAGAATACACCTACTACTAATACTGCTGTCTGTTGCCCTAGAATACACCTACTGCTAATACTGGTGTCTGATGGCCTTTGAATACACCTACTGATGATACTGCTGTCTGATGGCCCTAGAATACACCTACTGCTAATACTGCAGTCTGATGGCTCTAGAATACACCTACAGCTAATACTGCTGTCTGATGGCCCTAGAATACACCTACTGCTAATACTGCTGTCTGATGGCCCTAGAATACACCTACTGCTAATAATGCTGCCTGATGGCCCTAGAATACACCTACTACTAATACTGGTGTCTGATGGCCCTACAATACACCTACTACTAATAATACTGTCTGATGGCTCCAGGATACACCTACTGCTAATACTGCTGTCTGATGGCCCTAGAATACACCTACTGCTAATACTGCTGTCTGATGGCCCTAGAATACACCTACTGCTAATAATGCTGCCTGATGGCCCTAGAATACACCTACTGCTAATACAGCTGTCTGATGGCTCCAGGATACACCTACTGCTAATACTGCTGTCTGATGGCCCAAGAATACACCTACTGCTAATACTGCTGTCTGATGGCCCAAGAATACACCTACTGCTAATACTGCTGTCTGATGGCCCTAGAATACACCTACTGCTAATACTGCTGTCTGATGGCACTAGAATACACCTACTGCTAATAATGCAGCCTGATGGCCCTAGAATACGCCTACTACTGATAATGCTATCTGCTCACGCTAGAATACACCTACTACTTATAATGCTGTCATCGTGCTGTTTCCTTGATTCAGACAGTCAATTTGAAGGTGTTGTGACGTGTGTCTGAGGCCAACTCTATTATGATGGTGACCTTCTGTCATGACAGGTGCTACCAGACACTGACAGTAACTTTAAAAGTAATTCTAAAGTATAGATTCCACTCATTTTGTTTTGTTTTTTTGTTCTATATTTCATTGTTTTCATGAATGTGATTTCCCTTATGGCATGGACCTTTTTAAAGTGAGTGTTCTATGTGTTTCAGGTGTGTGATGTGAGTGGTGGTGTACATGAGCTGTACAGTAGGATGGACCCCGTGGCCCTGGAGGTGCAGCTCACGGAGGTCAGTAGAGGCAGCACGCAACATGCATGTAACATGCAGTGTATGTCAAACTGATGCATTACATTCCCTGAATGCGTCAGCACTTACACAAGACACTTGATGTGTCATTATAGATAACTTACACAATACTGTTATTTAGTCTGTCATACAAATATTATTGGAGTATAGCATGACTCTATATTATCAAGTTATCGGTGAATCTCGTAATCCAAACCCCCTGTCGACTGTTTACTTATGCAAATCTAAGCACAATATTTCATCACTGGATCGAATACTGGACTCGTTGCGGTATGGCATGGTTGTTACAAAGAATAATGTATGTTGTCCAAAGAAAGTGTCATGTATTCACGATCTTCCAACTTCCAAATGCCTATCAAAGAATCTATAAGTAATGATAGTGATTTTACAACTTTTCATTCAAATACATCTTGATGAAGTCTTTCAACTTCCTTCCCAGCATGAAGAAGTCAGATTGTTTGCAGCAGAGTGATGCATGGAAAGTAGAGTTGGCTCTTGGCATACTTAATCAGTGACAATGCAAATTTCATGCAAATAAGCAAACTATCTGTTGCACTCTTTAATTCTAGTGTCAGATAGCACTCTTTCTGGTCTTCAAACTAGTTTTAGATATGAGTGGTTCCTGAGTGCCAATAATTGGCTCAAGTTGAGGCTTATTCAGTGGTAATTAACAAATCCCTGATTCATGCTGTTATCACTAATGTTATGTCTTTGAAGAGGTGACTTGTATTTCACCGATAACATAAAGATTATAGAGAAAGAGGCTGTAAAAAGAATCCCATCTTTGAACAAAATAGCATTTTTCCCAATTTGCCTGCCAAGGGCACTTAGTTTGAAATCCCAAGATAAATCTATGAATTCTCGGTTTCATGCGGTTCCTGGGCAGGGGGTACTCTAGTGGTTTATGCATCCGCTTGTCATGCCGATGGTCCAGGTTTGATTCCCAACATGGGTACAATGTTTGAAGCCCATTGAAGCCATGATTTTGCTGGAATATTGCTCATGTGATTTCTATTCAATTGTTCTTGTGAAAAGCAATACCTCAAGAGGTTCTAACACAACACATCACCAAGACACTGATCAGTCTATATGTTGTTGTCATTGTGGCAGAAAACCTTCAAATTGACAAATGCTCTGAGCTTTCACTTCATAAAAGGAGAACTTGATTTTAGCATTTTAAATCTTGAAATTAATGCCTCTCCAAATTAATACGACTGCTGACCCCTAGCCCGAAATGTGACTCAATATTAATGAGACTTTCCCCCCATTCCCAGTGGAATGATACATATACTAACCTTAATCTGACCTTACCTTAATCCAACCTTACCTTAATCCAATCAAACAGCAAATGCACTTCTATAAAAACTGCTGCCGCTAAACAAAGATCCGAGGACATCCCATTACGGGTTACGTCAGAACTACCTTTCACGAACTTTGACCAACCACTGAAATGACTAACAAGAAGTCGACATAAGCCAATTAGAAAGCTGCTTTCTCGAGCCATACGGCACTTGTTTCAACCTGGCGACCTTCATTTCAGACTTCACTTGAAAAATATGTTGACACAGTTCTCAATTAAAATTTTGAAAACTGATCAAACAGAATTCCGGAATGTCTAATATATGGTTGAGATTGTAGGGCAGTGCTTCCCACATACTGTGCAACGCCTCCTCCATTCAAATGTTTATCCCACGGATGCGAGAGATAGGCGATAATTATGATGGAATCAGTCGTACGGGCTGTAACTGTCATTCCGAATACCCCGTGTTAACGTTTTCGAGGTTGCATGTTTAGAAAACACCACATTCGGACTGTCATTTTCATAATCGTGTAAGCGAAGCTTTGATTGGTCGAATAGAAGGTTGTTCTGATATGACCCGTAATGGGATATCTTCAGATCTTTGTTTAGTGATAGCGAGAACTAAGATCTGAATGAGATTGAGTGTTTTCCTAAAAAACAACAAATGTTTATATGTTTATTCTGTTGACTGTCATTGGGGAAGTTCAAAGGCAATAAAATAATTGAACCAAAAACAGTTCACTGATTGGTATCCAAAGAAGGTGTCAACAAAATTGAAGACGACATGACAAAGGCTGTAGATCTGAGGATAAGTGTGATGAAGGCTCATCGTTGGCTCATCGTTGGGTCGTGTCGACCTTTGACGCAGTGTTGCGTGGGTGGTGTCTGTCTGGGCTGCTGGAGTACTCAATGGTGCCTAGTTTGACAAGTGAACTCTTGACCCCAGCAGTGATAACTCACCGGATGCCCATTATGTAATTTCTATTCTTTAAATAACATTGTTATATACTTGTTACAACTGCTGCTCAAAGCGTGATGTGGAATATATAGTTGTTTGTGTTTATATTCAAGTTGGTATTTCCACTTCCGCAGTATGTGTCTTAACCCAAACAGAAAGATAGAGCAGCAACAAACTGGCATAAATTAGAGGCCATTATTGAATCATCATGAGCAGGTAGTTTCAAAGTGCCATTAAGAAGATATTGAAACAAATCACAAACAAATGACATGTCAGCGCCACATTTGCCTTCCCTCCCACATTATGCTGGCATGCCAAGGGGAATTACTCAGACTCACTCTTAAAGTATGGTTGACTGTTGAGACCAATTTCGCTACTGGAATAGGTAAAAACACTGTTGCAATACAAGTTCAGTATAGATAGAACTATTGCAATAGTTTGATATGTACTTCTTCCGCCGTAAGCAATGGTAAGCCTTGCATTATTCCAAATGAGGACAAAGCTAGACACATCCGCACAGTCCTGTGTTCAGGAGATTGCCTTGGATGTCAGAGGGGGGTAGCCCTGATTATTGATTAAAACATATGTCATTTCAAGCAGGGAGTATTTTAGAACAAAGTGAATGAAAAGTAAATTGGTTAATGATATATTGGTCAAGCATTACACTCCTGCTTCAAAAACCCATGGGGATTCCAGGTAAGAATTTAAATCCCCATAATCCTATACTTGTCATAAGAAGTGATTAAATGGATCAGGTGATCAGGCTCGGTGACTTCGTTGGTTCAATGTCATCGTACCCCAATGGCATGGATAGATGCTCATGATGTCAATCACAGGATTGTCTGTCCCATCAATTATTTACAGACCGCTGTCATATTGCTGGAATATTGGTTAGTGCAGCTTTTAACAACAAACAAGCCTATTTCTAGAGCTGGGTGTAACTCATGCCAAGGTGTGACAGGTGCTGACTGCTGCTTCAACATGGTTAACACTTCGGTCCCCTAGTGTACAGTTTGCAGCTGATGGTTTAGATTCTTCTCAGGTTTTATCTGCTTCAGCATTTGCCTCTGCTGGAGAGACAGTGGAAGAACATGACAGCCACCATGGACATTGAGATGTAAGTATTTGGCAGGCATCAAGTGAAGGATATGTGGACAGTTACTTGTTGTGATTGTGTGAAATAATTTGTGTTTCAAATATTACTTTTACATCAGTCAAGTCCCATGCAAAGCCTCTTATTCTTGATTCTGAGCCCTCCTTGTCATCATCCATGTGAACCTTGCCTTGGTATTTCATCCTGCTTAAGTATATATCCCTGACCAAAACTTGATTTTTCTTTTGAACAAAAAACACAGATTTAAGACAAAAAGTTTCTGCTTTGTAATCATCAAACAATGTTTTTTGTAAGTAGATACTAAGGGGATATATATAATTGTACCATGAATTTGCAAAATACTGAATTCTGATTGCTAAATAGAGGTTCTAATTACAATAACCACCTCTGATTGAAACAGCTGATCTGATTGTTGGACTATCTTACATTCTGTTCCAAATTTAATATTGTGCAGTTAAATCCGAGGTAACCTATCTCTATATTGAAAACTCAGTATGTTTATATATCCTAACTGGCTTATCAGGAAACAGATATCGAAACTGACAACTCATGGTTTGATGTTTCTTGACATGGTTAAAAGAGGAACACATTTTTAAAATTTATCCTTTAAACCAAAAGCTTAACATTTCTTCTTTAATTTTATTGTATCAATTGTAAATCCATTTTGAATAGAAAAAAGGTTATTATTAGAGCAATTAATATCTTTAATGTGACATATTTTATATTTGGAATTACACTTTCTTAGTAAAGTACACATTCTAGTACTTTTTTGGGTGCAGTCAATTCAAACTCACACTCTCAGAGTGAGGCGTCTTATCACCAGCTCACAAAGCCAGCAGCCTAACCTACTCAGCCACCAAGGCTTCCATAAAAATGAAAGTCCTACAACTGGTAGACTAAATCACTTGCTTTGTGTGCCCTTCTTACATGTTCGTTTTCACATCACTGCATCAATTATTGCTTTCATATATAAGTGGTATTTAATTTCCATCTAGTTCTTTTTTTTCATTGCTAAAATAATTGTAAATAAGAAACTGATATGGTAATTAAGAAAAGAATGACGACAACAAATACAGATTTGATTTCATAATTTGACAAGATTCCAACGTTAAAATGGTTAAATGACTGGCTCTGCTGACCAACACACTACCAAGCATCACAAAACACCACAGCATTTGGAAATGTCATGATTAACATACAATGATGCAAACTCATGCAGTCTATTCAGAGATCCAGTTTGTTACATTCTCCAGGTCTGTTAAAACCTGATCCAACCACAGACAATCAGCGCCTACCTTCCAGTCAGTGTGTGCCTGACAGTGTGTGCCTGACAGTGTGTGCCAGACAGTGTGTGCCTGACGGTGTGTGCCTGACAGTGTATGCCAGTCAGTGTGTGCCAGACAGTGTGTGCCTGACAGTGTGTGCCTGACGGTGTATGCAAGTCAGTGTGTGCCAGACAGTGTGTGCCAGTCAGTGTGTGCCAGTCAGTGTGTGCCAGTCAGTGTGTGCCAGACAGTGTGTGCCTGTCAGTGTGTGCCTGACGGTGTATGCCAGTCAGTGTGTGCCAGACAGTGTGTGCCAGTCAGTGTGTGCCAGTCAGTGTGTGCCTGACGGTGTATGCCAGACAGTGTGTGCCAGACAGTGTGTGCCTGACAGTGTGTGCCTGACGGTGTATGCCAGTCAGTGTGTGCCAGACAGTGTGTGCCAGCCAGTGTGTGCCTGACGGTGTATGACAGTCAGTGTGTGCCAGACAGTGTGTGCCTGACAGTGTATGCCAGTCAGTGTGTGCCAGACAGTGTGTGCCAGTCAGTGTGTGCCAGTCAGTGTGTGCCAGCCAGTGTGTGCCTGACGGTGTATGCCAGTCAGTGTGTGCCAGACAGTGTGTGCCAGTCAGTGTGTGCCAGTCAGTGTGTGCCAGTCAGTGTGTGCCAGACAGTGTGTGCCTGACAGTGTGTGCCTGACAGTGTGTGCCAGCCAGTGTGTGCCTGACAGTGTGTGCCAGTCAGTGTGTGCCTGACGGTGTATGCCAGTCAGTGTGTGCCTGTCAGTGTGTGCCTGACAGTGTGTGCCTGATGGTGTATGCCAGTCAGTGTGTGCCAGACAGTGTGTGCCAGTCAGTGTGTGCCAGTCAGTGTGTGCCAGACAGTGTGTGCCAGACAGTGTGTGCCAGTCAGTGTGTGATCCAACCACAGACAATCAGCCCCTACCTTCCAGTCAGTGTGTGCCAGTCAGTGTGTGCCAGTCAATGTGTGCCTGACGGTGTATGCCAGTCAGTGTGTGCCAATAAGTGTGTGCCTGACAGTGTGTGCCTGACGGTGTATGCCAGTCAGTGTGTGCCAGACAGTGTGTGCCAGTCAGTGTGTGCCAGTCAGTGTGTGCCAGACAGTGTGTGCCAGACAGTGTGTGCCTGTCAGTGTGTGCCTGACAGTGTGTGCCTGACGGTGTATGCCAGTCAGTGTGTGCCAGACAGTGTGCTCCAGTCAGTGTGTGTCAGTCAGTGTGTGCCAGACAGTGTGTGCCAGTCAGTGTGTGCCTGTCAGTGTGTGCCAGTCAGTGTGTGCCTGACGGTGTATGCCAGTCAGTGTGTGCCTGACGGTGTGTGCCTGACGGTGTATGCCAGTCAGTGTGTGCCAGACAGTGTGTGCCAGTCAGTGTGTGTCAGTCAGTGTGTGCCAGTCAGTGTGTGCAAGAAAGTGTGTGCCAGTCAGTGTGTGCCAGTCAGCGTGTGCCAGACAGTGTGTGCCAGACAGTGTGTGCCAGTCAGTGTGTGCCAGACAGTGTGTGCCAGTCGGTGTGTGATCCAACCACAGACAATCAGCGCCTACCTTCCAGTCAGTGTGTGCCTGACAGTGTGTGCCAGTCAGGGTGTGCCTGACGGTGTATGCCAGTCAGTGTGTGCCTGACAGTGTGTGCCAGCCAGTGTGTGCCTGACGGTGTATGCCAGTCAGTGTGTGCCAGACAGTGTGTGCCAGTCAGTGTGTGCCAGACAGTGTGTGCCAGTCAGTGTGTGCCAGACAGTATGTGCCAGTCAGTGTGTGCCAGACAGTGTGTGCCAGACAGTGTGTGCCAGTCAGGGTGTGCCAGACAGTGTGTGCCAGTCAGTGTGTGCCAGTCAGTGTGTGCCAGACAGTGTGTGTCAGTCAGTGTGTGCCAGACAGTGTGTGCCAGTCAGTGTGTGCAGACAGTGTGTGCCAGTCAGTGTGTGCCAGACAGTGTGTGCCAGACAGTGTGTGCCAGTCAGGGTGTGCCAGACAGTGTGTGCCAGACAGTGTGTGTCAGTCAGTGTGTGCCAGACAGTGTGTGCCAGTCAGTGTGTGCAGACAGTGTGTGCCAGACAGTGTGTGCCAGTCAGTGTGTGCCAGACAGTGTGTGCCAGTCAGTGTGTGCCAGATGGTGTATGCCAGTCAGTGTGTGCCAGACAGTGTGTGTCAGTCAGTGTGTGCCAGACAGTGTGTGCCAGTCAGTGTGTGCAGACAGTGTGTGCCAGTCAGTGTGTGCCAGACAGTGTGTGCCAGACAGTGTGTGCCAGTCAGTGTGTGCCAGACAATCCCTTGTAAAATCAACCATTGCTTCCTATTAAACATCTGGTTTAAACAATCCTTTTTCTGTATCTATTGTAAGACGTCTCCAGTGCATATGTATTTACAATAGATGTAAGTAAACACACACCTGATCAACACATGGAAATCTTACACGTCCCACATGCTTGATAGAGGTGCGAGTTACTCATACTGAGATTCCCCGCCAACTCCCACACTGCCCAAATGTAACTTGACAGCGTCTCAAATGCAAAAGAACTGCAGTCATAGAAAACAACGGTCATAAAGAAGCCACAGAACCTATATCCCTTTCCAGGAAGGCTTTATCCCCAAGTTGACAGCTGCCAAGTAACTACACCCTCATTGAAGACGTGAGAGTGTCCTTAAAAAAAAGCCTCAAATTTGCTGTTATCCACCCAGGGAAGAAGGAAGGAAGGTTGTGAGAAAGTTCAACAAGCTTTGAGAGAAGCCATTTGCCACTGTTGACAAGTACACTTACGAAAAAAGAAAAAACAGAAATCTCATTGTCCAGCCTTTCAGGATCACGTTTCTAGCCACCATACGTGTGTTCTGCCATCAAGATAACACCCCTGCTGCTGAGTGATTCAAGTGTTGGCTTGCCACGCCAAGACCCAGGTTAGATACCCACTTAGGTAGTGATGGAATAGTCCTAATCATGGAGTAAATCTCTACTCACTCACTCACTCTATAGCTAACATAAACCAGTGCCATCAATTCTGCATTTAAGTCCTTGGACAAATGAACACCTGAAGAAGCATTGCTGTTCACACTTTTTGCGTCCCCTACACCTGCTCAACATGTCAATGATCAGAAGACATCCGACAGACAGGCTGCCCCTGTCTACTTTCATAGAATAGCATCCCTAAACTGCTCCAACTCAAAAGCACCATATACCAGGTAGAATGAAATACACAACAGCGTTAGAAATTGGCCATAGAACTGTAGTCCTTGCCAAACTGCCTAGTCAAGGTATCATAAAGACTAGTAGACATTTTCCATTTGTTAGGGTTTTGCCATATGTTATGATTATAAGGACTAGTGGTCTGAAGCAGTTAGTTTCTATCGCTGCACAAGTGAAAGCTGAAGACCACTCACATGAGCAGTACAAATATCCCCAGTCGGCAGCCCAGCCTATAAATCAGCCATTTCTGGCCACATGCTGCTCGGTCCACCATCTGGGACCACCTAGTCAACCACCATGACAGACAGATTACACAAAATGACAGAAGCCATCAACATCCTGACACACGGCCCAGCAGAAATCAGAAGTACATTATCCCTTCAGCTTATCAAGACCTAATCAAGTCGCAGACCTAATAACCTTGCTCTCCCCACCATTCAAGCCCCAGTGTCAACACCAACTGCCACAGGCTTCCCTTGTACATACTCCTCCACCGTCCACACAGAGTGCTATCTTGATTCACATCACCTCCAGTGTTACCTTAAACACATCCGACATCACAAGGAAATCATACAAACAGAAGCCACTCAGAAGACTTACCAGCAACCACGTTGATAGACACTTGTAACTTAAAATGAGGAGAAAGTAAATGATAGGCACTTGTAACTTAAAATGAGGAGAAAGTAAATGTTAGATAGACACTTGTAACTTAAAATGAGGAGAAAGTAAATGATAGGCACTTGTAACTTAAAATGAGGAGAAAGTAAATGTTAGACACTTGTAACTTAAAATGAGGAGAAAGTAAATGATAGTCACTTGTAACTTAAAATGAAGAGAAAGTAAATGTTAGATAGACACTTGTAACTTAAAATGAGGAGAAAGTAAATGATAGACGTATGAAGGAGATCATATTTAAAACTGTCATAATAGTAACATGTTTAATTAATGATAAATGGTTGTGTCTTTTTAGTGGCAGATAAAGTGGTATTTATGTTTATTATTAATATTTATTGGATTACATGAAATGATTTTATCTTAACAATTCTGTGTTGACAAAAGTCATTACATATTTCTGATGCCTAAGGAAATAAATCAAATCTGTGTGAATAATATACATACACCTTGACCCGTATATATATCATAGGCAGTTCAGGTATTCAAATGAAACATTATTTAAGTGTAACTAAGGAAGTCATCAGTCATACTGTTGTTTATTACACACATCAGACCACCTCATCATTAAGGGGATTAAACAAGGATATTTTCCTCTAGACAGCTAAGAACCATTTTTCTTTTTCAAGAAACAGGGGCACGGGTTGCCCAGTCATCTAAGGCGCCGCGATTCACTGTGCAAAGTTGCGTCCCTATGAGTGTGGGTTCGAATCCCAGTTCGCCTCGATTATGTTTCTAGGTTTGTCAGCACCATACCCATGCTCGTGGGTTTCACCGAAGTGGTAAACGTCTGAGACCTGCATCACTTCGGGCTTTCCTCCCACATTAAGCTGACACGCCGCGATATAACTGGAATACTGTTAAAAGCGGCGTTGAACCCAACTCACTCACTCACTTGTTCAAGAAAGACTTCTGAAGAGTTTGATATGACATTTTGGATATTTTGAACAGACAGGTTGTATGTTACAAAGTCCACACACACTTGTATTGTACAGGGTGCATCTCGTTTACTTGTTTTGATTGGTTGACTGTGACCCCGCTAAGGTCCTGATTGGTTTGTCTATTAGTGTAGACTAAACTGACTCAAAAGGTGAGATCAGACTAAATTTGAGCATGAAACCAAGCGTAAATTTAAGCATAAAACAAAGTGTAAAATGATGATGCAATACTGCATTGCATAAAATAATTTTTTTCTTATTGTGAACATGGTAAAAGTAGAAAAAAGCAAAAAAATAGACTTGGTTTTTACAGTGCATTGTAATTGACATTGAGACCTGCTTGTTTGAAGATGCATAGTAAAACACAAGTTCAACACACAAAATTGAAATTAGCATAAAGGAATGAAAAGTTGCTGTGTTAATAATTGACTAAACAAGATTTTAAACCATTCAGCATGTATCATACTGACTCAGTAAAACAATTACTGCCCACTGACTAAAGGCCCTGAATCTAACTCAATCTGATGAAAGATCCTGATGTCACTTTTCTTTTCAGCCATCGGACAAGACATCACTGGCCGAGGTCTATGCAAATTTTAGTTTGATTCAATATAAAATAATTGCGTTCAAAACTCAGCTGACCGAATGGCCAAACCAAATTACATGATAGCTACGTGGGAGGCCAGAAGTGAGTGTCAAACTGTCGGTCTGAGATTCAACAAGCAGCTCTGTTCCATACAAACAACTGCGTGCCTGAATTACCATTGGTTGAAGCAGTTCCGTGTTAATTATTAATGCTGTCGTGTCTAGGCACACGCACAAGCAGGAACACTGTGTTTATTGGAGTTCATGCTTAGAATTAGTAACAAGGCTCATGTTTGATCATTTCATTACTTACGCACAACAGGATTTTCAACCAGTCACACTTCGGCCTGTTAATATTGACAAAATTTAAACATGTAAATATGTATTTTAAAAGTGTGCATAATGAATAAAATGCCACGTTCTTTCACATTTAATACCATATGTAGAAAACTTGTGTAATCTTTGTTTGGTGCAGTTCACGCTTTCCACTGGGAATCCACTATTTGTGTGAACGGGGCGGTCGGGTAGCCTAGTGGTTAAAGCGCTTGCTTGTCAATGTGTGAAGCCCATTTCTGGTGTCCCCCGCCGTGATATTGCTGGAATATTGCTAAAAGCGGCGTAAAACCATACTCACTCACTCTTTTTGTGAACATGGTATCTAACGAGAACTTGCTGAATACTCCATGTACCTGCTTCTTGTAACTTCATGATTGATTTATTCATCTTGTTTGATGAACTCATCCACTCAAACGTAACTATCCAAGAGGAGAACAAATGCTTTGTTATCGCTTGACACATCATCATCCAGCCCTATAGAGGGCCCACAGAAGGTGGTCATGATGTTGGACACTTGGAGTTTCCTTTATAAAGTCAGTGGAAAACTGCTTGATGCTGACAGTATCCATTACCATGGCAACCTCCGAGGAACATTCGATTTGTGAAGCCCACTTCCATACAGCTGTAATATTGCTTACTGTTTCATGTAGCCAAGCCTTTTTATTTTGTAATTGGTTTTGAATTTTGCAAAAAAGTGGGGGGAAAGTACAACCCGAAAAGCACTATTTTCTTTAGTCCACCAAATGCAAACTTATGTGTCCATTACAAACATTGTAAACTGCAAGACAGTCTGTTGTATGACAAGACATGCCCACTAACTTTGCACTGATCCCCAGCAACAGAATAATAATGTAGACAGTCTTTTTGATTCACCAGTTCTCTTGAATTTGCAATAACATATTCTACAAATGTAGTGGAAGAGCTCTTCGTTTCATGACTCAACAGATGCATTTGGCATATGTTTTTGTTATTTTTGACACTGTTGTTTATATTTCTGATGACATTGTTACAGAGCTTATACCTTACAATTTAAGGTGTGGCATATTTGTCAACTTGAATTGTACTACAAGTACTATGATCTGCTAGTTTCAAGGGACTTTATTTGCTTTTTGTGTGCAGAGCCCAGCATACCGGAGACCTGTCAGAGGAACGTCTGTTTGAGGTGTGTATAGCTGTCATACATAGTCATGAGCATTGCTTCAGATATCAAGTTTTTCAGTGAAATTAGAATTGTAGAGTACTTTTATGAAATTGTGTGCTCAGTTTTAACGACAAAAAAAAATCCTTCAAAATATTCAAGATCCGTAACATTTTGTTGTTGTTCACTCAACATGCTCAGTAAGAATGAAACTATACACCTATTCTGTGAATGTACATTGACTGAAAGAATACATGACTGTGGGCATCTTAGGCTGTGCATGTCAAATATGAGAAAGGCATTATTCAGGAAAAAATAAAACTTATGCTTGTCATAAGAAACGACATTATGGATCATGGTCAGACTCAGTGACCAGGCTGATTGTGTGTTGTCATGCTCCGAAAGCGAGGAATGTGCTCATTTAAGCAATCACTTGTTTGTTTGGTCCTTGCTCAGTTGTTTACAGACTGGAATATTGCTGAGTGTGGCGTTAAACAACAAACAAACATCGACCAATGGCAAGATGTGGGTGAACTTGACTGCTGAATGCCCCCTGTACAATCAGTACAGAAGGTGATAATGGTGTTTGTGTTCCAGCCCCTCAGAAGCTACTTTCAACATGGCCGAGGAGCAGCCAGTGGAGATGGCAGGTACAGTTTGCAATTTAAGTACCAACCCAAAGCCTTGTCCAGTAAAATTATTTTCATCTGGAAACCCTCATTGATTTTCTCTGATAAAAATGTACTGCAATGATGACACAGGACAATTTCTGTGTAATCAATTTCACATCACCAAATGGAGTTGCATTGGCCTGACATTCTGTATATTCCAAAGCCCATTAGTCCAAAGGCCTATTATCAAAAAAACATGTTAGCACAAAGCCAAATAGTGCAAAGCCCCATTAGTACAAAGCCCTAATAGTACAATGCCCAATAGTTCAAAGCCCCATAGCAAAAAACCCTGTAAGCACAAATATGAGCAGTGCAAAGCCTTATCAGAACAAAGCCTTATTAGTCCAATGCCCAGTAGTCCAAAGTCCCATTGGTCCACAACCCCAGTAGCCCAAAGCCAATTAGTTCAAAGCCCAATAGTACAAATCCACATTAGTCCACAAAGCTATTAGTCCAAAGGCCTATTATCAAAAAACCATGTTAGCACAAAGCCAAATAGTCCAAAGCCCCAGTAGACCAAAGCCCCATTAGTCAAAAGCTCTATAGTCAAAAGCCCATTAGTCAAAAGCCCGTTAGTACAAAGCCCCAGTAGACCAAAGCCAAGTTGTCCAAAGCCCCATTTAGTCAAAGCCACAAGTTGTCAAAAGCCCATTAGTCAAAAGCCACATTGCCCAAAGCCCCATTGGTACAAAACCATGTTTGTCTGGAAACCTTCTTGACATTTAGTGTTTAGAACATCTATATATTCAAAAAAGGGGAATTGCCCCATAACCATGAATTTTTGTTGGGAATGTTTAACTTGGACTTGGTTCTCCGTGGTTTTACTGGAGTCTTTTCATGGTCCCTGTTTACATTCAGTTATGATTGAATAACGGTGACATGAATGAATGTGACACCGGACATGACACTATTGAGATACATTGCCTCAATCGATAATCAGTCATCTCATTGTTGGGTGTATAATTGCAGGAGCAGAAAGTTACCCTTTGTATTGTTTGGGAGCCATGCAAGTAAGACTGAACTGCTCCAAGCACAAGACATGGATGGCTACAATTCTAAGAAGAGTTCCATGAAAGGGGAAACAACTCACACTATCGTGAGTACTTTGTTTCTTTGATTTGGGGCCTGTTTCCCAAATCATATTATTTGAGCAGTATCCCATAATATGTGGGGTAGATTATTGATGAGAACAGCCAACAGTTGGTGCAAATGTGTTAAAAGTATGTCCATATTATAGTCAATTATTCTCTACTCAACTATTTCAGTGAGTATGTCCGAGTTGGTATGATTGTAATTGATGATAAAATTACGTAGTACATTATGGACATTGTATTTAGTCCAGATGAGCATGACTTTTGACAGACTGTTTGATCAGATGTACTTGTGTTTCTCCTCATGATTGATGAGCCTATCTTATTTGGGATACGAAGGGTCGGAACTCACTAAACTCACACCTCTAGACACACTCGATCAGGAAGCCCTAAACTGTGGTATACCTAGACATGTCAGATGCCTTTTTCACGTCTGATGATGATATATCTGTCTATCAGTTGTTGTGTGATACCATACAACACATGTCATCTTGAGATGTATTATGGCCGAAGTTGGGATACAAATTAGCTGTATCAACTGAATATCCTACTAAATGTTTTGAATTGAACCAAAATGACACCATCAACAACTGAAGTTTCAGTACAGTATAATGCATAGTCTAATGCTGACATAACAATAATGTTAAAACTTGTTTTGTGTTTTTTAACATTGATCGTGCATTAATAAATATCGGAGCAACTGTCTTATCAATGGAAAACAAAATAAATAGGTCAAGAAATGAAAGAAATCAATTCATGAGGATATAAATATTCTAAAATCATTGTAAATAGCTGGAGAGGAATCTGAACTGTTAACATTACTAAATGTGATCCAGTATGCCTATAAATTTGAAAGCTGTTTCATAAAGACTGCATTTTCAATAAATATTATCGGTGACCTAACAAACATGTAATGAAGAAATACTCCAGCTACAACTAGCACCCTGACATTGTGGATTGTGCCCAGACGTGATGGATTCTACCCTGACCAGTGGATTGTACCCTGATAAGGTGGATTGTACCCTGATGTGGTGGATTGTACCCCGACAAGGTGGATTGTTCCCCAACATGGTGGATTGTACCCTGATATAGTGGATTGTACCCTGACATGGTGGATTGTACCCTCATGTGGTGGATTTTACCCCAATGGGGTTGATTGCACCCTGACGTGGTGGATTGTACCCTGACGTGGTGGATTGTACCCTGATGTGGTGGATTGTATCCCGACCTGGTGGATTGTATCCAAATGTGGTGGATTTTACCCCAATGGGGTGGATTGCACCCTGACGTGGATTGAACCCTGACATGGATTGAACCCTGGCGTGGTGGATTGAACCCTGACGTGGTGGATTGAATCCCAATGGGGTGGATTGCATCCTGACATGGATTGAACCTTGACATGGATTGAACCCTGACATGGATTGAACCTTGACGTGGTGGATTGAACCTTGACGTGGTGGATTGTATCCCGATGTGGTGGATTGTACCCTGACATGGTGGATTATACCCCGACATGGTGGATTATATCCCGATGTGGTGGATTGTACCCTGACATGGTGGATTATAACCCGACATGGTGGATTATACCCCGATGTGGTGGATTGCACCCTGACATGGATTGAACCCTGATGTGGTGGATTGTACCCTGACATGGTGGATTATACCCCGACATGGTGTATTGTACCACAATGGGGTGGATTGTACTCTGAGGTGGATTGAACCCTGATGTGGTGGATTGTACCCTGATGTGGTGTATTGTATACCAATGTGGTGGATTGTACCCTGATGTGGTGGATTGAACCCTGACATGGATTGAACCTTGACGTGGTGGATTGAACCTTGACGTGGTGGATTGTATCCCGATGTGGTGGATTGTACCCTGACATGGTGGATTATACCCCGACATGGTGGATTATATCCCGATGTGGTGGATTGTACCCTGACATGGTGGATTATAACCCGACATGGTGGATTATACCCCGATGTGGTGGATTGCACCCTGACATGGATTGAACCCTGATGTGGTGGATTGTACCCTGACATGGTGGATTATACCCCGACATGGTGTATTGTACCACAATGGGGTGGATTGTACTCTGAGGTGGATTGAACCCTGATGTGGTGGATTGTACCCTGATGTGGTGTATTGTATACCAATGTGGTGGATTGTACCCTGATGTGGTGGATTGAACCCTGATGTGGATTGAACCCTGATGTGGTGGATTATAGCCCAACATGGTGTATTGTACCACAATGGGGTGGATTGCACTCTGAGGTGGATTGTACCCTGATGTGGTGGATTGAACCCTGATGTGGTGGATTGAACCCCTGTTGTGGTGGATTGTACCCTGATGTGGTCGATTGAACCATGACGGGGTGGATTGTACTCCGACATAGTGGGTTGTACCCCAACGGGGTGGATTGTACCAAGATGTGGTGGATTGTATCCCAATGTGGTGGATTGAACCCAGATGTGGTGGATTGTACCCCAACGGGGTGGATTGTACCCAGATGTGGTGGATTGTACCCCAACTGGGTGGATTGTACCCTGATTGAATCCTGATGGAGTGGATTGTACCCGATGTGGTGGATTGTATCTCAACCTGGTGGATTGTACCCCGACATGGTGGATTGTACCCCGATGTGGTGGATTGTACCCTGAAGTGGTGGATTGTACCCTGAAGTGGTGGATTTACCCTTATGTGGTGGATTGTACCCTGTCCTTGTGGATTTACCCGATGTGGTGGATTGTACCCTGAAGTGGTGGATTTACCCTTATGTGGTGGATTGTACCCTGTCATCGTGGATTTACCTGATGTGGTGGATTGTACCCTGAAGTGGTGGATTGCTGCTCATGCAATTGACCACTGGTTTGCCAAGACCCCACTCAGTTGTTTACCTCGACTTGACTCAGTTGATTACCTAGACTTGACTCAGTTGTTTACCTCGACTTGACTCAGTTGATTACCTAGACTTGACTCAGTTGTTTACCTAGACTTGACTCAGTTGTTTACCTCGACTTGACTCAGTTGTTTACCTAGACTTGACTCAGTTGTTTACCTAGACTTGACTCCGTTGTTTACCTCGACTTGACTCAGTTGTTTACCTCGACTTGACTCAGTTGATTACCTAGACTTGACTCAGTTGTTTACCTAGACTTGACTCTAGGTTATTTACCAGCCGCAGGGATTTAGCTGACATGTTGTTGAATGAGGCACAAAACAACATTCACTCACTCACATTTGTGCTACTTATTGCTTTTAAAGTTGGTTCCAAATTATAAAGAATAGGCTTTGTTTTTTCATGTATTTTTTGTGTGTCTGCATCTGTAGTTGTATGCGCAAAGTGTTCCTGCTCCTCACCATGGTGACTGTGAAAATACAAATTGTCCGAGTTTCAGGTATGCGTGATCATGTATTCTTGAATGTCTCTTTAAAGACATGATTGATTTTACTTTACAATGAAAAAACAGAACTATTTCACTAACCGTTTTTTTTGGCAATTACCAGTTTAAAGAATTTACAGAAAAGACTTTCACTTAGACAATGCATTTTTTAACTGTAGCAATGAGAAAAATGGTGTGGCAATATCTTGTACAGCTATAAATATTGTCATAAAAAACCTCAGAGCTATGCAGGGCCATGAACTTGAGAGAGCACATGATGATGCCTGTCTCGCACGTCACATTCCAAGTACAGGTAATCCGTAATGTGATTGTTGAGTCATGCTACAGAATGTAATATTAGTTATCAGCTGATTGTTGCACTATTTCAGCAGTGCAGATTTTGCAGTTGCACTTCAAAGTCTCTTCACTTTCCCTTTATAAAAGTTAAGTTGTTTCCCAAGCAGCCTGATGTCCTGGGGATTTGACCATATCTTATCACTATAACAGCTGTCTTTCTTATAAAAATATGGGTGTATGTTTGTGTTGGATGTAGCTCTCCAAACCTGCTCATGTGCCTGGCCTCCATGTTGTCTTGTCTGTGGGATAGTTTCCTTTTGGCCTTGTATCAAATTACCTTACCGTATTCGACGTAATAAGCGCCCCGATCTAATAAGCGCCCACGGCGATATTTGCTAATATTTTGGCTAGTGAACAATCCCAATTAGCATCCTTTCCGATTGATCAATGAACACAAGACTTTATTTGTGTATAATACGCACTCGTGTGTTCTATGCACCCTTAATTATGGGCAATTAAATTCTGGAAAAATATATCTGTCATATATAAACATTTCAGGCTGTCAGCATAAACCATGAAATTTATGATCTTTCAACTGTTAGTAAATAGTATTCTAATAAGAGCCCCCCATTTCTATTCTTGTGAGCGACCTGGGTGCTTATTACATCGAATACGGTATATCAGAAGAAAATATAGGACATGAATCACACCTGACATAGAAACTTGTGTTGTATAATAGGACGAAATCTAATCCACCCAAAATAAATGACATTTCTTTTAAAAGACATATAATAATCTCGATAGATCCTCTGGATGGACTCTCCTGGGAATTGAATGTATGGAATGAGACGCTTCGCAAAATGAACAAAGGCACAGACAGTATCTAATCTTGGGATAAAGTACACTTTTTGAGTTACATTATAATGGGCTTGACGCTGTACAAATTATCTCCCACATGATCTAACATATCCTTGGTAACATTGTTATCTCAGTCAATCAAGGTTTCGCATCCACACCAATAATCAATTGGCAAAATAGTTTCTTTAAACTTCGAATAGTTTAATATTATTCCCTGGTAGAAGTCTGGCAAGATGATGTCATACGTCTCCAATGGTGCTGTGTTATCCCAAACATATACAATCAACTGTGTCGATGCCTCAGTATCCACAAAGTTGTCCGTGAGGGGAAGAGAGATCATGAAAAAATGATACAGCGAGAGGGGTGGGTGGGTTACAATGTATCACCCACCCCCTCCCTCTTCTTCTCCCTAAGTTCAATACACATGAGATCTTCATGGATCTGAGATTTTGAAACTCAATACTGAATCAGACATTCCAATGGCGTGTTGTTATCTTGTTGAGGGCAATACCGGGACTTTCCCGTTTATCAGCCCTTGGCTGAATTACGGAAAACAGCACTTTCCCAGGGCTCAATTTCGGAAGTGCAAACGCTTTCTTACCTAAATAGGGGATGCCTTTTGCTAAAAGAAAATTGAACTTTGAGCTGGAAAAAACTTCACAGAATGCAAATGTTGGACTTGCACCTACTGTTGATTTCCCTCTTGTAGTGCATTTTCCACGTATTAACTTTCAAAGGGAGTTCAGTTATGAACCTAAGGAAGATAACTCCAAAATAAATATCCAAATTTAAGTCCATGGGCCTAAATACAGTTAGTTTTATGTTTTTCTGCCCATGAGCGTAATTACATGTGGGTTTAAATACAGGAAGTCCCGGTATGTATGTCAAATACAGTTAATAATTCAAGTCTATCTAAATCCGCTCTCATCAATAGTTGAGGTTCAAGTTATCCCTCATTCTGACTGTTAGTCTACAGTGTCCCGCCACCATTCATGTATTCCCAGTTCTGGCACAAACAGATGTCCTCAAACTATGTAGGATATCACATTTTCCACCTGATTACAACTGATCACACATTGCAATAAATAGTTTCTCTCAGAGACTGGTTCTCTTGTTTTTTGCTGGTGTGCTTTTATGATGTACAGACAGATTAATGCATTGGTTTTACTGGTTTTATTGGTCTTTAATGTCAAATCCCATAAACCCAAAACATATTGAAATCAAATCATATAAATAAACATGTCATCAATGATAAGTTCACAGACTTCTTATTTAATCATAAACTCATAAAAGCCTACAATATATCAGAGCAATAATGCACCTCTAGCCCTGCCCATTTTAATATCAGATAATCCGAAAACAGTTGGCTGTTAGAGGACATGACCTAATATGTTTTTGTTTTGCAGACATAAACAAAACAATATTTTGCTTGGTTAGCCAATCAAATACCATGGAATCACTTGCAATTGTTTAATATTCCTTCATGAACTCAGGCCTTTGTCCAACTCTAAGTGCCTTTCTTTATGTGATAAACCTGTGCACACAATACACCGTCATCAATTTGGACTAGTTCTATAAACCTGGCAAAACTGCCCAATAGTTAAAGTATCATTTATATTATTTATAAGGACAATTATTAATTTGCCATATTTAAAGTTTTTGCTATGTGATATCTTTACAAGGACTAATGGACTGAACATGTTAGTTTCTGTCACTGCAACATAAGGTAAAATGCAATGAAAGACTGTTTGTCCAAGACCATTCGTGAAAACATTCATTACAATTTCCAAAAGCTTTGCTCGTTTAAAACATTATGCAGATCCTGTGGGTTTAAAAGAACCCTTATTATGTCTTGACCTCAGTAATCAATGACAGTTTCACTGGAATATGTACCATCTGAATTAACAGGGCTGCACTGTATGCCATGGTTTTAGATTAGTTTATTAGACTGTCAAGATTTTATCATGCTCTGAAGACTTACACTAACATGTTGACCCCTGAAGATCCAGGGTAGAATAGGTCTTCAGCAACCCATGCTTGCCGTATTAGGTGAATATGCTTGTCGTAAGAGGCGACTAACAGGATCGGGTGGTCAGGCTTGCTGACTTGGTTGAAGCATGTCTTCGTATCACAATTGTGTAGATAGATTCTCATGATATTAATTCCGGATTGTCTGGTCGAGACTCGATTATTTACAGACTGCCATCATATATCTGGAATATTGCTGAGTGTGGCGTTAAACAACAAACAAACAAAAAACACTAACATGCTATGTTCTTTTTACCTTGTGTTTCAGCTGTGTCAGGCAGTGGATCCAAAAGGCCCGTTAACCTGTGCTCGGACCTACTTCTATACACCAGTGTACGACCCATTCTCAGGTGAGCCACATGTATAGTCTGTAACAGGAATATGCCCCAGTGGGAATCAGAGGCAGAGTAGGCCCCCAGTAACCCTGCTGGTTGCAAGAGATGTAAATGAGGATTGGATGGTCATAATGTGTGACCAGGCTGATTGTTTGTCATTGTTCTCTGCTGACATGGGTTGATGCTCATACCATTGCCCACTGGTCTGTGTGACCGGGACGTGACTACCGGTATGTACAAGATGCTGGAGTGCTGGTGACTGTTAAATATGGCAACATTCTTTCACCCACTCATTCATTCATTACAGGAAGGCCACACTGCCAAGACATTGCAAATTGCTTAACATCTCAAAATCAATAATCAGAGCTTCAGAATCAATCAACCATGATAATTAATAGGATTGATTTTTTACAATTGTGAAGGGGACAATTTGTTTGCATTAAGATGTGGAAAATTGAGGTCATTTGTTTGATCTTTGATGCTTCCAATCCTATTTCAGTTCTTCCAGTTAAGCGTTACACAACAGCAGGTTTGGGGTGATAAATACTGAATCTCTGGCCAGGAAGTGTTTGATTGATATTTAGAATTTAAACAGGAAGAAGTGAATATTTATGGATGACAGCTTTGTTATTATTATATCCCAGTCATCTAAGGCGCCGCAGTTCGGTGTGCAGAGTTGCATCCCTTGGGCACGCCAGAAACCTATGATTTGAGGTTTGAATCCTTCTTAAACAACAAACACATATACAAACAAAGCTCATGGGTATAACTGAATATCAGGTTGATTATGAAAAGAGTAAATATCTAAATAGCTAATTCATCTCACCCTCATCCCTCAAATTTTATGTGAAAGAATTCAGGTGAGCTACTGTGTTCATCCCTTGGATACATATGATGATATTGATACTAAAAAAGAAGTTAGGGATTGTGAAATCAGAATATTTTTGTGGATGTGTATATTTCAGAAACTGAATCCCTTAAGATAACAAAAGATCAGGGTTAGAAACTAACAGTTTTTGCCCACTAGTCCTTATAATGACATCTTCCTGAGGCATGAGAGTTAACTGACTTTAAAAGTCCAGTTTCCACCATTGCCGAACTAGGCTGGAATTAATGGGCTCGATCGTAGCGTCACCAGTGGCTATTACCAGTTATGTCCCTTCTAAGCCTCTCCTATGGACCAATCAGATTCCAACTCTCGTATCACTTGTGTTTGCTTCACACAAAATGGTGGTGCCCAGTCAGGACGATCTGATCGATAATCAAGATCTATATTGTGATAAAACGGGTCTTACATCGCGAAATGCATCAAATCACGTGAGCACCTTGATTAAAAACATGAAAAGATTTGGAATAATATCTGTTGACAACGAGTTGGCTGTGCACATGCTTTGCAAAAACTGCAGTCGATCGAAATCTTCACGACAGTTTACGAACCGGATTTCGATTTCAGTGCACGTTTCTGATTGGACTAAGCATAGACTCGTTAGTCCAGCCAAAATGTAACTCCATAATACCAGCCTAGTTCGGCAAGGGTGGAAACTGGACTTTTATAGTCAGTTAACTCCTTTGCCTCGGGAAGATGTTATAATGATAACATATAGAAAAACCCTTAAAATGGGTCAATTTCTACTAGTCCTTAGGATACCTTTACTATTGGGCAGTTTCGTAAGGACTACAGGACTAGTGCCAATTTCTAATGCTGAAGATGTCTTCATATAATATTTTAAGTACCAAATATCATTTGAAACATTAACAATACCTGATAACATTAAGATATAATCCAAAATGTCAGTTTACTCAGTTCTATTGATCTTCAGGTTGAGTGGATCATTAAATATTAAATTGGGAAAAAATTATTATCTTGAAAATGGATATTCATTACCGGGAAGTTCAATTACACTGCTTGGTTAATTTCATTACCACACAAAGGTTTGGGTAATTAAATCTGTTTCCTGTTTGAATTAGATGATGGACATTATGTGTTTTCAGATTTATAGATGTTTTAATGTATTCAGTGCCAGGGAATTCATTGTAACCAGCAGTGTGAGCTGGAGGTTCAATGTGCAAAATGTCATAGCTTGAAATGTTCAGTAACACCTGCAAATCTGGAAGCAGATAATGTTTATTTATATTGTAATTACCAAATGTTTCCTCACACTGTGATATGGACTACCGTATTCGACGTAATAAGCGCCCACGGCGATATTTGCTAATATATTGGCTAGTGAACAATCCCAATTAGCACCCTTCCGATTGATCAATGTACACAAGACCTATTTGTTCGTGTATAATACGCACTCGTGTGTTATATGCACCCTTAATTATGGGCAATTAAATTCTGGAATATATATATCTGTCGTGTAGGATACGCACATACTTTTCTTTTGTATCATTTCAGGCTGTCAGCATAAACTACGAAATGTACAATCTTTCAACTCTGTTTTTTTTCTCACCAAAATTATATTCTAATAAGAGCCCCCTATTTCTAATTTTGAGAGCGCCCCGGGCGCTTATTACGTCGAATACGGTAAGTGTCAGACCTCAGTGTGCATGGATGACCTCATGTGCTTCTGAATAGCAGAAAAGTGACCAAACTAAAGCAAAGTTGTTGTGACAAATAGTGAAATTTAATTGATAGCCCATGCCATGTTGTTCAAATTTGAGATTTTCCAAGAAAATAATGTATTTGCAGGGGAAATTATTTCGAAACTGCTTTGAATTCCACTTTACAATCAGTTTGCAGTGCACAATCCCATTTGCCTTCTTAAAAATCACCATCTAGGGAATTTGTAACCGATAGTAAATTTAAGCATATGTTAATAGAACAATAACATCAGGCACGTATTGCACACTTGTTTATTCACTGCAATGTTATATTGTAGATGTGTTTGTGTTGCTCAGTATGGTGTAATGTAAGAAGTTTTGTTTTTTCAATTATGGTTCTTTGTTCAAATGATAGACAGAAATGGTATTTTGATGTTTGCATCTGCCCAGAGTTGCTCACTCACTCACTCACTCACTCACTCACTCACTCACTCACTCACTCACTCACAATGTCATCGTATCCAAATTGTGTAGCTCGATGCTCATGATGTCAGTCACTGGATTGTCTGGTTTATTTACAGACTGCCGTCATATAGCTGGATTATTGCTGAGTGCAGCGTTAAACAACAAACAAACAAACAAATAAAGTTACTAATTGCTCACGTTATATACGGTGTGGGGACAACATGGAAGTCTGTTTTTTCAACCTTTTGTGCATTTAGAGCAAGGTTAGTGACAAGGGATTAATAAAGCCTGAAAAACATAAGAACATTGCACTTTTCTCAGACCAATGGGTTTAAAAATATTTTTTTGCACGTCTAAGTGTATTGTGAAGATGTTTTTCCATTTTAGTCTGAAAGCAGGAAGTACATGTAGATCCTTTTATACAGGGGTGTTCACTCATGCTGAAGGGTTGGAGATCTCAGAATGTGTTTTTTAATCCTTGCAGATGTTTTTCTTTGGATGACAGCCATAGAGTGGTAAAAGTGGAAGCTTTCTTGTAATAAATACTGAAGTGCTCATGTTAGAAAAGGTTTTCCTAGACAAGAGGTGACAGGATATGTAGTTTCTTTAAAAAAATGTATCTTAGTTGTCAGCAAGGTTTTAAGTGAGTATTTCTGTGATTGAAACTAATGCGAGTTAGTGTTGACTCCTGTGGCAGAAGTAGTGTTGTGCCAGCCGATATCACCCCAGGTTTCACATAGATAGGTTAATGAAGAGTTTTCTTTTACCCAGAGAATTTCACAGCTGGGAACTCCAAAAGCCTGATTGATTTCACCAGCATAAGGTTTTTATCCATGCTATGCACGACAGTGGTGTTGATTGTGTAATGCAGCGGAGCTAGCTGTCTTTGTATGGGGGCTACACAACCAGAATCTCAGGGTGTACAGTCGTACTTACGCCCGTATCTTTTTATTTGTATGATCATGGATCCAGCAACCCTATATTTTCCAAAATTGGAAAAAAAATAAACCTGAATTTAGACATGATGTCAGCCTTTTTATTTTCAAATTTTTATTCCCTTAACCAACTTCTGACTTTGACAAAAAATATATACCGTATTCGACATAATGAGCGCCCAGGGTGCTCTCAAAATTAGAAATAGGGGGCTCTTATTAGAATATTATTTTGGTGAAAAAAACAGTTGAAAGATAAATTTCTTGGTTTATGCCGACAGCCTGAAATGTTTATGTACAACAGATATATTTTTCCAAAATTTAATTGCCAATAATAAAGGGTGCATATAACACACGAGTCGTATTATACGCGAATGGGGGGGAGGAAGTTGTGCGTATTGTATTCGAATAGGGGTCGGAAGGGGTGCTAATTGGGATTGTTCACTAGCCAATATATTAGCAAATCTTGACGTGGGCGCTTATTAGAGTTGGGCGCTTATTACGTAGAATACGGTATGCTCTATCAAATAATAACTACTGGCCTTATTGCGGTTAGTCTGCCAGGCATCATGTCATTAGCCTCTTAAGACACATTGAGCCTTCTTATATATTATATGATGCTTTCCTCTTCTGTAATTAATCACATTTGCTGTAATTAGTGCAGCTTTAATTAGTGCAGCTTGTACAGTTAACCTCATATGATCAAAACTGTGGAAAGTTCAATTACATTTAGGTTAAATTTAAGTTTAAAAGTTTAACAAATTGATATTAAAAGAAAGGAGATGTTTTAGAATGTGACCATGGACCTTCACTAAGAGTGAGTGAGTTGATTTAACACTGCTTTGAACAGCAGTTATATCAAAGTCTGTTACCTGGATGTAGGTGTGATGCAGGTCTTGATTTAGGTCTGATGTAGGTCTTGATGTGGGTGTGATTCAGGTCTTGATGTAGATGTGATCAGATGCAGTGTCTAGATGTGGGTGTGATGCAGGTCTTGATGTAGGTGTGATCAGATGTAGTGTCTAGATGTGGGTGTGATGCAGGTCTTGATGTAGGTGTGATCAGATGCAG